CAGAGAGAGAGTGATGCAGAGTCACCTGGTCCAATCAGAGAGAAGAGAGGGATCAATAACCAGAGAGAGAGAGTGACGCATGTCCAGAGTCAACTGGTCCAATCAGAGAGAAGAGAGGGATCAATAACCAGAGAGAGAGTGACGCAGAGTCACCTGGTCCAATCAGAGAGAAGAGAGAGATCAATAACCAGAGAGAGAGTGACGCAGAGTCACCTGGTCCAATCAGAGAGAAGAGAGGGATCAATAACCAGAGAGAGAGTGACGCAGAGTCACCTGGTCCAATCAGAGAGAAGAGAGAGATCAATAACCAGAGAGACAGAGTGACGCAGAGTCACCTGGTCCAATCAGAGAGAAGAGAGGGATCAATAACCAGAGAGACAGAGTGACGCAGAGTCACCTGGTCCAATCAGAGAGAAGAGAGGGATCAATAACCAGAGAGAGAGTGACGCAGAGTCACCTGGTCCAATCAGAGAGAAGAGAGGGATCAATAACCAGAGAGACAGAGTGACGCAGAGTCACCTGGTCCAATCAGAGAGAAGAGAGGGATCAATAACCAGAGAGAGAGTGACGCAGAGTCACCTGGTCCAATCAGAGAGAAGAGAGAGATCAATAACCAGAGAGAGAGTGATGCATGTCCAGAGTCACCTGGTCCAATCAGAGAAAAGAGAGGGATCAATAACCAGAGAGAGAGTGATGCATGTCCAGAGTCACCTGGTCCAATCAGAGAGAAGAGAGGGATCAATAACCAGAGAGAGTGACGCAGAGTCACCTGGTCCAATCAGAGAGAAGAGAGGGATCAATAACCAGAGACAGAGTGACGCAGAGTCACCTGGTCCAATCAGAGAGAAGAGAGGGATCAATAACCAGAGAGAGAGTGACGCAGAGTCACCTGGTCCAATCAGAGAGAAGAGAGGGATCAATAACCAGAGAGAGAGAGTGACGCAGAGTCACCTGGTCCAATCAGAGAGAAGAGAGGGATCAATAACCAGAGAGACAGAGTGACGCAGAGTCACCTGGTCCAATCAGAGAGAAGAGAGGGATCAATAACCAGAGAGAGAGTGACGCAGAGTCACCTGGTCCAATCAGAGAGAAGAGAGGGATCAATAACCAGAGAGAGAGTGACGCAGAGTCACCTGGTCCAATCAGAGAGAAGAGAGAGATCAATAACCAGAGAGAGAGTGATGCATGTCCAGAGTCACCTGGTCCAATCAGAGAAAAGAGAGGGATCAATAACCAAAGAGAGTGACGCAGAGTCACCTGGTCCAATCAGAGAGAAGAGAGGGATCAATAACCAGAGAGAGAGTGACGCAGAGTCACCTGGTCCAATCAGAGAGAAGAGAGGGATCACTAACCAGAGACAGAGTGACGCAGAGTCACCTGGTCCAATCAGAGAGAAGAGAGAGATCAATAACCAGAGAGAGAGAGAGTGACGCAGAGTCACCTGGTCCAATCAGAGAGAAGAGAGAGATCAATAACCAGAGAGAGAGAGTGACACATGTCCAGAGTCACCTGGTCCAATCAGAGAGAAGAGAGGGATCAATAACCAGAGAGAGAGAGTGACGCATGTCCAGAGTCACCTGGTCCAATCAGAGAGAAGAGAGAGATCAATAACCAGAGAGAGAGTGACGCAGAGTCACCTGGTCCAATCAGAGAGAAGAGAGGGATCAATAACCAGAGACAGAGTGACGCAGAGTCACCTGGTCCAATCAGAGAGAAGAGAGGGATCAATAACCAGCGAGAGAGTGACGCAGAGTCACCTGGTCCAATCAGAGAGAAGAGAGAGATCAATAACCAGAGAGAGAGAGAGTGACGCAGAGTCACCTGGTCCAATCAGAGAGAAGAGAGAGATCAATAACCAGAGAGAGAGTGACGCAGAGTCACCTGGTCCAATCAGAGAGAAGAGAGAGATCAATAACCAGAGAGAGAGAGAGTGACGCAGAGTCACCTGGTCCAATCAGAGAGAAGAGAGAGATCAATAACCAGAGAAAGAGTGACGCAGAGTCACCTGGTCCAATCAGAGAGAAGAGAGAGATCAATAACCAGAGAGAGAGAGAGTGACGCAGTCACCTGGTCCAATCAGAGAGAAGAGAGGGATCAATAACCAGAGACAGAGTGACGCAGAGTCACCTGGTCCAATCAGAGAGAAGAGAGAGATCAATAACCAGAGAGAGAGAGTGACGCATGTCCAGAGTCACCTGGTCCAATCAGAGAAAAGAGAGGGATCAATAACCAGAGAGAGAGTGACGCAGAGTCACCTGGTCCAATCAGAGAGAAGAGAGAGATCAATAACCAGAGAGAGAGAGAGTGACGCAGAGTCACCTGGTCCAATCAGAGAGAAGAGAGAGATCAATAACCAGAGAGAGAGAGAGTGACGCAGAGTCACCTGGTCCAATCAGAGAGAAGAGAGAGATCAATAACCAGAGAAAGAGTGACGCAGAGTCACCTGGTCCAATCAGAGAGAAGAGAGAGATCAATAACCAGAGAGAGAGAGAGTGACGCAGTCACCTGGTCCAATCAGAGAGAAGAGAGGGATCAATAACCAGAGACAGAGTGACGCAGAGTCACCTGGTCCAATCAGAGAGAAGAGAGAGATCAATAACCAGAGAGAGAGAGTGACGCATGTCCAGAGTCACCTGGTCCAATCAGAGAGAAGAGAGGGATCAATAACCAGAGACAGAGTGACGCAGAGTCACGCAGAGTCACCTGGTCCAATCAGAGAGAAGAGAGAGATCAATAACCAGAGAGAGAGAGAGTGACGCAGAGTCACCTGGTCCAATCAGAGAGAAGAGAGGGATCAATAACCAGAGAGAGAGAGTGACGCATGTCCAGAGTCACCTGGTCCAATCAGAGAGAAGAGAGAGATCAATAACCAGAGAGAGAGTGATGCAGAGTCACATGACATGTTAGCAAAAGAGACATTATTACAGCAGCAGAAAGATAGAATTACATCTTTAAAAATATATAAAAGACTGAGTATGCACACGTTATTAATAATGAGAGAACACAATAAGTACAAAAACTTAATTTATAATGTAACTCAGCAGAGCTGGGAAGTGTTGGAGTACAAATACTTTGTTACTGTACTTAAGTATATGTTTCTGGTATCAGTACTTTACTCCACTACTTATTTTACTTTCTACTTCTTACATGTTGAACACAAATACCTGTACTTTCTACTTCTTACATGTTGAACCCAAATACCTGTACTTTCTACTTCTTACACGTTGAACACTAATACCTGTACTTTCTACTTCTTACATGTTGAACTCAAATACCTGTACTTTCTACTTCTCACATGTTGAACTCAAATACCTGTACTTTCTACTTCTTACACGTTGAACCCAAATACCTGTACTTTCTACTTCTTACATGTTGAACTCAAATACCTGTACTTTCTACTTCTTACATGTTGAACCCAAATACCTGTACTTTCTACTTCTTACATGTTGAACCCAAATACCTGTACTTTCTACTTCTTACATGTTGAACCCAAATACCTGTACTTTCTACTTCTTACATGTTGAACTCAAATACCTGTACTTTCTACTTCTTACATGTTGAACACAAATACCTGTACTTTCTACTTCTTACATGTTGAACCCAAATACCTGTACTTTCTACTTCTTACACGTTGAACCCAAATACCTGTACTTTCTACTTCTTACACGTTGAACCCAAATACCTGTACTTTCTACTTCTTACATGTTGAACTCAAATACCTGTACTTTCTACTTCTTACATGTTGAACACAAATACCTGTACTTTCTACTTCTTACATGTTGAACTCAAATACCTGTACTTTCTACTTCTTACATGTTGAACACAAATACCTGTACTTTCTACTTCTTACATGTTGAACACAAATACCTGTACTTTCTACTTCTCACATGTTGAACTCAAATACCTGTACTTTCTACTTCTCACATGTTGAACTCAAATACCTGTACTTTCTACTTCTTACATGTTGAACTCAAATACCTGTACTTTCTACTTCTTACATGTTGAACTCAAATACCTGTACTTTCTACTTCTTACATGTTGAACCCAAATACCTGTACTTTCTACTTCTTACATGTTGAACCCAAATACCTGTACTTTCTACTTCTTACATGTTGAACTCAAATACCTGTACTTTCTACTTCTTACATGTTGAACCCAAATACCTGTACTTTCTACTTCTTACATGTTGAACCCAAATACCTGTACTTTCTACTTCTTACATGTTGAACTCAAATACCTGTACTTTCTACTTCTTACATGTTGAACTCAAATACCTGTACTTTCTACTTCTTACATGTTGAACCCAAATACCTGTACTTTCTACTTCTTACATGTTGAACCCAAATACCTGTACTTTCTACTTCTTATATGTTGAACACAAATACCTGTACTTTCTACTTCTTACATGTTGAACCCAAATACCTGTACTTTCTACTTCTTACATGTTGAACTCAAATACCTGTACTTTCTACTTCTTACATGTTGAACTCAGATACCTGTACTTTCTACTTCTCACATGTTGAACCCAAATACCTGTACTTTCTACTTCTTACATGTTGAACCCAAATACCTGTACTTTCTACTTCTCTCATTTTCCAAACAGCTGGTTCCTTTAGTCTGAATGTGTGTTTGATGCGTGATCATTATTCTTTAGAGTCATTGCGTGCCTATTGATTTGAACACGATCCGTGTATCCATCATTTCCTGGTCTTCTCTAAAGAAGAGGGACCAATGGAAACGTTGTCATGTTGCCGTTGTTCAGCATGGAAACATTCATTAGCTAACAATGACATTATTGTTCTATTAATATAAAGGGAGGTCAGGTACTCTTTAAAGCAGCTGCTAGTTATGGGTACTTTTTACTGAAGTACATTTCAAAGCCTCTTTACTTTGACTTGAGTAAAGAAGTTTAGTCAGTACTTCTACTTTCATCAGAGTATTTTTAAACACCAGTATCTGTACTTCTACTTTTACCAGAGTATCTTTAAAGAGTAACCCACCGGCTGGTTCCGGTCGTGCAGCTTGAGCGCGGGCACCAGCAGAGTGAAGTCCATGTCGTAGTCCGTGCCCCTGGAACACACACTCAGGTCCTCCAGGTCCATGTCCACCACGCCCTCTCTGACCCCGCCCGACAGCAGCAGGTACTCATTGGCCACCGGGAGCTTCTGGTCCAACTTCTGCACCATGCCTGGGGGGAGAGCCAGGGGTTGGACAACACAGGGAGGTCAGTGGAAAACATGGGGTTATGGGTGTGTTTCTCTCTACATGTGTGTGTATTATGGGTGTGTTATATGCGTGTGTGTTCTCCTTCATCCAGCATGCTGAAGATGAAGTCCTTGGCAGGTGGATCTCTGTGTGTGTGTGTGTGTGTGTGTGTGTGTGTGTGTGTGTGTGTGTGTGTGTGTGTGTTCTCCTTGAAGTTCTTGGCAGGTGGATCTCTATATGTATGTGTGTTATAGGTGTGTTAGGTAGGTAGGTGTGTGTGTGTGTGTGTGTGTGTGTGTGTGTGTGTGTGTGTGTGTGTGTGTGTGGGTGTGGGTGTGTGTGTGTGTGTGGGTGTGTGTGTGTGTGTGTGTGTGGGTGTGGGTGTGTGTTACCCAGCATGCTGAAGATGAAGTCCTTGGCGGTGTGGATCTCCAGAGCCCTTTGATCGTCGGTCTCGCGCTGCTCCTGCTTGCTGAACTCAGAGATCAAACGGTTCAAGTCCTCCATGCGGCTCGCGGACCTGAAGTCCAGCTCTGCAGTTCCCGCGGAGGGGGGCGCCCTCCCCCCTGAGGTGGGGCTGTTGGAGAGGCTGTTGGAGAGGCTGTTCCCGGAGCTGCTGCTGCCGGAGGCCCGACTGGAGAGAACCGGAGCCGCCATGTTTCTCCTCCTCTCTGACCACACCAACAAACAACCGGAAACAGCTGCTGGGGGCGAGGCCTCCAAGGAGCCGACTTCAAAATAAAAGCATCAGCTACAGACCGTTTAATATGATTGAAATATAATTGGATTAAGGTACAGTGTCCAGGGGCGGTTCTAGGGGGGGCCAACAGAGGCCAGTGCCGCCGTAACACTCACCAGGGACCCCCCCCCTGTGGCCCCTTCCAAAAATAAGGTTACAATATTAAGATTTATTGGAACTAAATCAAATCTACAGATCTACAGCGGAGATTAAACTGTTCATTACCTTATAAAAGCAAATACTGTTTATGTTTTTTAATTAAATTGTCACTTGAAGTAACTAAAACAAATACTTTAAAGCAGGGGGGTCCAAACTGTTTTCACCGAGGGCCACAGAAAAACATACGAAGGTCTGGGCCGCTCACTAGAGGATTACCTTGTCAGATAAGTTAAGTTGGCAAAATCAATCAAATGTAGTTCAATGATTCTTGATGCTTGAATATGCTTTATTAAGAAACTAACAGCTCCCAGCTCTCCAGAGGGTTTACTTTATCTTGTTAGCAGCTCATCAAAACAGAAGCTTCAGATTGATGATAACAAGAGGAAATATGAAGGGTTTATTTCAAGATTGTACTTGAACTGACTGAATGTGTTTGAAAAGAGGACCTACTAACACATAAATACTACTGTGTAATATATGTTTACAGATGTATTTAAGAAGTACAATATAAGACAAGCACAAGTTTCATTTGTGGGCCGTATTACATTTACTTTCTGAATTAGCTGAGGGCCGATTCAAAATGGGCCGCGGGCCACATTTGACCCCCGGGCCGTAGTTTGGACACCCCTGATGTAAATGAAAAGAACGACTGAAACAAAGAACTGTAATTTATGTTTATTTTACACAATTACTTATTTTTAACCCGCTTTGATTGTACCACTGTCATGAAATAACTGGCCCCAGCCTGCCCCCAGTAAAATAGGTCTGGAACCGCCCCTGACAGGTCACTGGGGGTCACTCACAGGTCACTGGGGGTCCCTGTGGGTCCCTGACAGCTCACAGGGGGTCCATGTGGGTCGCTGACAGCTCACTGGGGGTCCCTGTGGGTCCCTGACAGCTCACAGGGGGTCCATGTGGGTCCCTGACAGCTCACTGGGGGTCCCTGTGGGTCCCTGACAGCTCACAGGGGGTCCATGTGGGTCCCTGACAGCTCACTGGGGGTCCCTGTGGGTCCCTGACAGCTCACAGGGGGTCCATGTGGGTCCCTGACAGCTCACTGGGGGTCCATGTGGGTCCCTGACAGCTCACTGGGGGTCCCTGTGGGTCCCTGACAGCTCACAGGGGGTCCATGTGGGTCCCTGACAGCTCACTGGGCGTCCCTCGGGGTCCCGGGCCTTGTTGATGAGGTCGGTAGCGGAGGTTTTTAAAAAAAACTTAATTTTGGGTTAAAAAAAACATCCAGACTTTTTACATTTTTGTTTATATTTTTAAGGTTACAGTCTGTCAACTTTAGCCCACTTTAGTGTGTGTGTGTGTGTGTGTGTGTGTGTGTGTGTGTGTGTGTGTGTGTGTGTGTGTGTGTGTGTGTGTGTGTGTGTGTGTGTGTGTGTGTGTGTGTGTGTGTGAGAGAGAGAGTTACTGGAAATAATAAACGCACCAATAAAATATTCATGATCTGTTTTTATTGTTATTTAAAGTGATTTCTGTACAGAAAATATTTATTTCATAAATCCACATTTATAACATACATTATAAGAATAATTAGAAATAAAAACAGAGTGATGCGTTCACTGCCATCGGGTGGCCAGGGAGGGTAACTACACCCTTTTATTTTGAAAGCTTTTACCGGAAGTGTTAGTTTGCAATTGAGTTTGGTTTTACACTTGGTGCAGTCTCATTGGTGTGTGTGTGTGGGTGTGTGTGTGTGTGTGTGTGTGTGTGTGTGTGTGTGTGTGTGTGTGTGTGTGTGTGTGTCTTTAATATAAAATAACATAGGAACACATTTCCTCATTATTATTTTCTTTGCTGTCCTTGAACGCACCACCGAGAGGTTCCAATATGCATCAACACACAAACACAAATAAAAGCTGAGATGATTAATGATCAATAAAAACAAAACAAAAACAGATGAAGGATTTGCAGGAAAGTAAATGTTATTTATCTGTAGTCTATGAGCTTAGAACAAACAAACCAGTACACGTGGACCCTAACCCTGTACACATGGACCCTAACCCAGTACATGTGGACCCTAACCCCTAACTCTATGTGGACCCAACCCAGTACACATGGACCCTAACCCAGTACATGTGGACCCTAACCCAGTACACATGGACCCTAGCCCAGTACATGTGGACCCTAACCCTGTACACATGGACCCTAGCCCAGTACATGTGGACCCTAACCCCTAACTCTATGTGGACCCAACCCAGTACACATGGACCCTAGCCCAGTACACATGGACCCTAACCCAGTACATGTGGACCCTAACCCAGTACACATGGACCCTAGCCCAGTACATGTGGACCCTAACCCTGTACACATGGACCCTAACCCAGTACATGTGGACCCTAGCCCAGTACATGTGGACCCTAACCCAGTACATGTGGACCCTAACCCAGTACACATGGACCCTAACCCAGTACATGTGGACCCTAACCCCTAACCCTATGTGGACCCTAACCCAGTACACATGGACCCTAACCCAGTACATGTGGACCCTAACCCCTAACCCTATGTGGACCCTAACCCCTTAGAGCTACATCTGAATGAAATGCATCTTTGATATAATGTATTTAAAGTGGTACCCCCCCCCCCCCCCCCCCCCCCCCCCCCACAGAGCTCTGTAATCAGGGCGTTAAACACTGATAGTACCTTTGATTCAAACATTATCATGTGCAACAATAAAACTATAAACGCTCCAGTTTCTGCGTCCTGTGGATTATAGCGACTGCATTTAATAAAAGAGTTTAAACCAGATTATCTGAAGGGTCACAGATTAAACGCAGCAAGCCTGACTGTTTTCCCACAATGCATTTCAGTCCTCACAGGTGTCCCTTTAGTCAGGAAGTCTAAAGCATCTAAGGGAATGATTAACCAATAAAAGTGCATGTTTCAAACTAGAACATCATTTTCTGAGCTATATTTGTACTTTTTCCCATTTAAAAAGCGAGCTCTCGGTTTATTTTTAGGGTTCGTTCTGCCGCGGTAAACCAGGTTGATCAGCGAAGTGAAGACATGTGCATCACCCCGCGTTCAAATATACAAACATGTGCTCCAGATTCTGAAAGGGAGAAATCTAAATCAGAAACTCATTCAAAGTGGATTAAAGATATTAGACAGAGTCCTGGACTGCGTTTATCAGCATTAGATAGCTTTGCAGACAATAGTTAAACAATGTCTTGGCAGTTTTGTAGTGTTTTTGTGGGTTATTGAGGATGCTTTGACATTTCAGGATAAGAAATGTCAGGTTTAACCAGAGTTGTCCATCTTTGTTCTCTGTGGACTGACTTTGATAGATGTTGGACATTAAGACCTCTATTAGACTTTACAACGGATGGAAAGCTCGTAGAAACTCAGAGGACGTCGTCAGGGTTTTCCTGAATATCTGCAGCGTATTTCTACTAAAGAAGTGTTTTGTGCACGTTTGCTCCCGTCGGCCTCCGTACTGATGGGCTGTTCACACAGTTCTTTCAAAGTCACATTAAAGATGCAGATCAGAAACAGAAAGGTCAGAAGAAGATATTGAGACAACGTTAGCTCTTCAGAAAACAGCTCAGAGTCTCAAAGCCATCCGGACATGTTGAGACCCCAAAGTGTTCTGAGAGAAATGTAGAGTAGGGTCTGCAGCTCATAGAAGCTGCCGGATGCTAACCTGCAGATGTTGGGACATTTACACATTAGCATAAATTGATGTTGGGTTAGGGTTAGAGGTCTAACCCTAACACACACACACAAAACCAACCTCCCTCATCCAGCACCAGTCACTTTTCTGCCATCTCCGCTGAACACTTTAACATATTATTAACATTTTAAACTGTATACCCCGGTTATCTAGGCCCTTTTTGTTTTGTTGTTGTTGTTTGATGTCTATATGTCACACTGTAGGACCTCGAGAAACGATATTTCTGGATGTACAACATGTAGAATTCTTGACAATAAAGCTGACTTTGACTTTGGTGTGGACTGATTTTGATTCATTTTGGGTCGATTTAAACGTCGTTGGGAACTGTCAAATTTGTCAAAAATGTATTCAACGTTCTCAATTTCAGAGGACGTCCTCTGGTTGCTCGCAATAACTTTTTCTGACTTTTCTATTTGACTCAAAACTGCCATTTTGATCCTAAAAAAAAACCTGGTTCACTCTCCTGGCGTTATTCTCAATCCTGGTCTTTTCTCCCTGAGTCTCAGAGCACCTCCTCCTGGTTCTCCTGGTTCTCCCTGCTGTTCCCCCTGGTCCTCCTCCTCCTGGTTCTGGTCCTCAGAGCACCTCCTCCTGGTTCTCCTGGTCCTCCTCCTGGTTCTGGTCCTCAGAGCACCTCCTCCTGGTTCTCCTGGTTCTCCCTGCTGTTCCCCCTGGTCCTCCTCCTGGTCCTCGGCCTCAGAGCAGTGAAACCTGCCGAGGCGCTGAGGGCGACCCGGCTCAGACCCAGGTTCAGGCAGGGCAAATGCCCAAATCGGCCATTTAGAAGCTATTGTCTTTAAATGCTAATGAACTCAACTTATGTTTCTACTAACTGTGTACATGTCCCAACATACAAACATTTCCCATATTGGGATCAATGAAGTACTTCTTATCTTATCTGCAGGTTAGTATCCAGCAGTTTCTATGTGCTGGCGCTGGCTTTCATCTTCGTCTTTTCTCTCTGAGTTTCAGAGGACGTCGTCTGGGTTCTCCGGACAATTTTGAAGTGGTTTTGGAGGTTGGCTGAATCATTTCTGACATTTTCAGGACCAAAAATAGCAGAAAGTGGACATTTCTGTGCTCTCTGTGGACTGATTTGATGCATTTTGGGTCATATTAAAAGTTTTCTGGCACTCAAAACTGCCCTGAGTTTCAGTGGGCGTCGTCAGGGTTTAGACTAAATCTTTTTTTCTAATTTTGGGTCGATTTAAAAGTTTTCGGGGGACTCAAAACTGCCATAAAGGATCCTAAAAAAGGAATTGATTCAACATACAAACTATTACCACAACAAAAGAAAACACTTCAAAACTGTAAAAAATGGGCTAAGTCATTTAGACGCGATTGTCTTCATATGCGTTTGTGCTCTCTGTCGACTGATTTGATGCATTTTGGGCAGTTTTAAAGTTTTACGGATTCCAAACTGCCATTTATGATCCTAAAGAGGTCAGAAATGTATTCAACGTTTTCAATTTCAGAGTCCGTCCTCTGTGTCCTCCTGGTCTTTAGTCCTGGTCTTTCCTCCTGGTCTTTGCTCCTGGTCTTTAGTCCTGGTCTTTAGTCCTGGTCTTTGCTCCTGGTCTCTTCTCAGAGTCCGACATCTGTGTTCTCTTGGTCTTTCCTCCTGGTCTTTGCTCCTGGTCTTTCCTCCTGGTCTTTCCTCCTGGTCTCTTCTCAGAGTCCGTCCTCTGTGTTCTCCTGGTCTTTCCTCCTGGTCATTGCTCCTGGTCTTTCCTCCTGGTCTTTCCTCCTGGTCTTTCCTCCTGGTCTCTTCTCAGAGTCCGTCCTCTGTGTTCTCCTGGTCTTTCCTCCTGGTCATTGCTCCTGGTCTTTCCTCCTGGTCTTTCCTCCTGGTCTTTCCTCCTGGTCTTTCCTCCTGGTCTCTTCTCAGAGTCCGTCCTCTGTGGTCTCCTGGCTGGTCTTCCTGCCTCTCCTCTGCCTCGGCCTCAGAGCGGTGAAGCAGGCCGAGGCGCTGAGGGCGACCCGGCTCAGACCCAGGTTCAGGCAGGGCACCTCGGAGGTGACCGGCACCTCGTGGAACAGCAGGCGCTCGCGCGTCGGCATCGAACCGCCCGCCGCCTCGCTGCTCTCCAGGTCCTTCACGATGTTCAGGATCTCCTGACGCTCCGACTGACGCGTCAGGCCCCGGATGTTCAAGATGGCCGACACGTGCTTCTTCCTGGAGCAGAGAGATTAAACAGATTCAGTCAGAAACAAAACATTAGTTACAAAACAGATCAATATTCTCTTACAGCATTCTGTAGTTTAAAAAGAAAGCACACATTAAAGTACACTGAAACAAGTGGAAAAGCATTAGCATCAAAATATAGTTAAAGTACCAAAAGTAGAAGTACTCAGATCTTATACTTGAGTAAAAGTAGAAGTACTCAGATCTTATACTTGAGTAAAAGTAGAAGTACTCAGATCTTGAGTAAAAGTAGAAGTACTCAGATCTTGTACTAAAGTAGAAGTACTCAGATCTTCTACTTGAGTTAAAGTAGAAGTACTCAGATCTTGTACTTGAGTAAAAGTAGAAGTACTCAGATCTTGTACTTGAGTGAAAGTAGAAGTACTCAGATCTTGTACTTGAGTGAAAGTAGAAGTAGTCAGATCTTGTACTTGAGTAAAAGTAGAAGTACTCAGAACTTGTACTTGAGTGAAAGTAGAAGTACTCAGATCTTGTACTTGAGTGAAAGTAGAAGTACTCAGATCTTGTACTTGAGTGAAAGTAGAAGTATTCAGATCTTGTACTTGAGTAAAGTAGAAGTACTCAGATCTTGTACTTGAGTGAAAGTAGAAGTACTCAGATCTTGTACTTGAGTGAAAGTAGAAGTACTCAGATCTTGTACTTGAGTAAAAGTAGAAGTACCAGAGTGCAGGAATACTCTGTTACAGTAAAAGTCCTGCATTCAAAATGTTCCTCAAGTGAAAGTAGAAAAGTATTCTCATCTAAATATAGTGAAAGACAGTGAAAGTAGTCGTTGTGCAGATTGGTCCATTTCAGAATAATATATATGATATGTTTTATAATGATTGATCATGAAAGTGTTCTCAAAGCTGGTGAAGGTGCAGCTAGTTTGAATGGCTTTGTATACTGCAGGGTAGCTGGTGGATTTACTCCAGGTGGAACTAAAGTCTGATTCAACACTTGGTTAGATTTCACATCATTCATCCACATCTGTGAAGTAACTGAAGGTATTAATACATGTAGTGGAGGAAAAGTACAAAGTAGCAGAACATGGAAATACTCAAGTAAAGTACAAGTACCTCTAAATTGTACTTAAGTAAAGTACTTGAGTATATATACCGTATTGAGCCGAATATAAGACTGTTATTTTTCCTAGAAACAAATCGAGGAGTCATCTTATATTCGGGGTCGAGACTTTCGATGTAATTATACAGTCACTACAACAGATGGCGCCAAACGAGTGTTCCCCAAGCGAGACACCGTCTTAAAGTAACAGTTCACAGCAACAGGAGAGAGAGAGAAGGAGAGACAGAGACCAACTCCAACACAGTGGATCAAAAGTAGGCGAGTTAATAAACAAGAGGAGAAGTTACGATGCCAATTTTAAGATAATGGTGATCAACGAAGTCATCAAACATCTGTCGAGCAGCAAAGAAATGTGGAGTTACTGAGAGTAACGTTAGAAGATGTCGAGCCCAAAAAGACCGCCGTATAAATGTAAACAGTCAGAGAAAAGGGGCTGCTTCTCGGAGAAAAGGCATTTTTTTAAGAGATGGGTCGTCTTATATTCGGGTCAATACGGTACTTAGTTTCTTTCCACCTCTGTGTGTTTCCTTCGTACCTGACGTCTGGAAACTCCCGCACCAGGACCCCGACCTCCATCTGGATCGAGGGCACGTCCTCCAGCTGGATGATCTCTGAGAGGTGAGCGATGGCTCCGTCCAACCAGCAGGACGGAGACTCCTGAGAGGAGACAAGTCCTTTCATCAATGCTCTGAAACGTGACCCTTCAACAACAGAAGCTCAACAAACCAACTCTCATTTTGAGACGAATAAAATGGTTTTTTGATCCAGTTTTTCAAGAAATCAAAATCAAAGACTGATTTAAAGTTGATTCTTTATTCGTCCCAAAGTCTGCAATGGACTCTGGATGTTTTTTATTTTAAAGAGTCCTCTCCTGCTGGTGTTCAGGTGTATATCAGTGTGCAGTGTCTCTACTTTAAAGAGTCCTCTCCTGCTGATGTTCAGGTGTATATCAGTATGTAGTGTATCTACTTTAAAGAGTCCTCTCCTGCTGGTGTTCAGGTGTATATCAGTGTGCAGTGTCCCTACTTTAAAGAGTCCTCTCCTGCTGATGTTCAGGTGTATATCAGTATGTAGTGTCTCTACTTTAAAGAGTCCTCTCCTGCTGATGTTCAGGTGTATATCAGTATGTAGTGTCTCTACTTTAAAGAGTCCTCTCCTGCTGATGTTCAGGTGTATATCAGTGTGCAGTGTCTCTACTTTAAAGAGTCCTCTCCTGCTGATTTTCAGGTGTATTTTAGTATGTAGTGTCTCTACTTTAAAGAGTCCTCTCCTGCTGGTGTTCAGGTGTATATCAGTGTGCAGAGTCTCTACTTTAAAGAGTCCTCTCCTGCTGGTGTTCAGGTGTATATCAGTGTGCAGTGTCTCTACTTTAAAGAGTCCTCTCCTGCTG